AAGCTAATCTAGAAAACAAAGTGGTAGAGGTGAGCATCTTGGCATCCATCTTTTCTCATCTGCTAGTGTTGCTTTGGGTTTTTCACGCTCCCTGGTGATCCTAAATGTGAGAAACACTCTTCAAAATAGGGCCCTAAACAATTTGGAGTGGCTGCTGATGGGCCAATTTGCTGTTCTTGTAAGGTGTATACAAGAGGCCTAAGACAGGAAGGAACTCTGCCTTCAAGGAGCTGCCAGTCTAGTTGGGAAGACGAAACCACAAGCAACAGAGGGGCTAAACCTCAGTGCGGTGGCAGCTAAAGAAAAGAATAGGGTAGAGAGAGCTTTGGAAAGGAGATGGAACTTGGGCATCGAGTGAACCTGGCCTTTAGATTTCCTCTGTCTGACCCTGAACCCATGCTTTTCCAACTACAGTGCACCTCCAGGGGATCTTGTTACAAGGTAGGGTCTGTGGTGGGGCCTCAAGCTCTGCACTTGTGGCGGGCTCCCAGGTGCTGCCTGTCAGAGGACGACATTCCAGGGAGGATTTCTGGCCTTACCTCTCACTACGACGCTTTACCTCCTTAAGGAGTAGTCCCCTATGGTCCATTTGCTGCTGGCCCAAACCAGGTTGGATTGCTCTGTTCTTGTTTTATCCCCTCCTTGACAGGTTTTGAGTTGTTTTCATGAATTCCTGGGGTATTTAGGCACCCTGGAAATAGACTATACAATAGATGGGTTTATAAACTAAAAGTCTTACTCTTAATTTAATTTGAGGGGAAGATAACTTACTGAGTGCCTGTAATGCAGGGTTTCCTCTTCCTCTCACCAGGGTGCCTTTTGGGACTAGAACATTGCTAAATGTGCGTAGGATCAAAACAGAGAGACTTGAGGGGTCTTAAGATCTGCTGCTTCCTGGACTGGATTAGAGTTTAGCTCCTCTAACATCGTCGATGACATATGCCAGTGAGGCTGCCTTTTCTACCTCCACGTAGCCCTTCTGTTAATGCACATTGACCTGACACTTATGATAGGACAACTAAAATGATTCAGTTTTTTTTTTTGCACACTTATGATCTTTGGAAACTATCCCCATCATATTCAGGAGTCTCCCTACTCCCATTGCTTATGAGCCAGCTCACCGAATGGGACTCTGAATGAGGCTCTGGTCACTAGCCTCAGTAATGACCAGTTGGTTGCAGTTGTTAACTTTTCTGTGGTCACCTTCCTTACCTCTAACGAGTAGCTTACTTTGGGTCCTGGCTCTGAGTGTTGTGCAGTACTTAGCAATAATATGAGGCTTTGGTGCCATTCCCTGAATTGATCTGAACTGAACAGGATTACTTTGTAACCAAACAATTTAATGACACATGATTAATTTGGGGGCTGGTAAGAAAAAAGCAAAAGGGGACCTTGTTACATTATGCTATTGTCCCAAGTGAGGATTTTGCAAAAATTTGACCAGAGGAAAGAGAGCTTCTATGCTCAGAGCTCAAGGTCCATCACTGTGTCTCAGGACCAGAAAAATTTGGTTTGCCCCCACCCAGTTTTTCTCAGATGCCCAGTATTTTCAATGTGCAATTTGTGGAACACGAGATACCTTCAAGATAACTTGTATGAAGTTATAGCAGAAACTTTTGTAGCAGTGACCTAGTCATGTAACACTCAAAAGAACTTTGTTTCTGTGGAACTACATTAAGATGTTGATTTGAATATTATTAGTTTTGTAGTATTTGTATGTAATCAATAAGTGCTCTGGTTTTGAGATTCTAAGAACTATAAATTTAGGAAATATATATCTCGTTTTATATATGTATATGTTTAACATAATTTAAAGGCTATGTAGGGAGTCTGCAGGAATGTCTGTCATTGAAAAAGTCCTTATTCTTGTTTGAGAAAACACTCGTTTGATTGCCATCTCTGTAATCTCCCTTAGCTATCAATACCTTTAATCCTGTCTTATACATACTTTTGTGAAAAGGTGAGGTTTGGCCATTTATCAGTTAACTATTGCCACAATAATGCTGCATAACAAACTACCCCAAAACTTGGGTTTTAAGCGACACCCCGGTACATAGTTGTATGTTGTGGGTCCTTCCAGTTGTGGCATGTGGGACGCTGCCCCAACGTGGCCCAATGAGCAGCGCCATGTCCACGCCCAGGATCGAACCAACGAAACACTGGGCTGCCTGCAGCGGAGCGCGCGAACTCAACCACTCAGCCACGGGGCCAGCCCCGCGACAAACACCTTTTATTCTCACACTGGGCTCTACTTTTCACTGCAGGCCTGTGGATTAACTTGGGTGGCTCGGCTTTGCATAATTCACTCTCCTTGGACAATTCAGCTAACTGGGCAAAGGCACAAGAAGGAAGCACTCGAGGCTTCTTAAGGCCTACACTCAAAACTGACACAGTGTTACTTCTGCCTCCTTGCCACTGACCGTGGTCAGCCACCTGGCAGAGTGCAAAGTCAAAGAATGGGGAAATACTCTCCTCACCTTGAGGCCGTGGCGAGGATATAGTTGCAAGAAGGAATGATGAATTGGGGCCAAGCATTTAGTCTACCATGGCCAGTCATTGGTTGGGAATTCTGGATACTACCTTTGTCCTCTGTTTGCAAATAACACCTGAGCAGTTATATTAAGTAAAGTGTTTGCTGAAATAACTTTATGGTTCTAGACAGGCTAGGTGAGATGATACACCCTGATTAAAGGGACAAAGGTAACACATAAGCTTGCCTAGGAAGAATGAGTAACTTCTATCAATGGAACCTTACGAACAATAATATGCTAAGGAACTGACACAAAAGCCTGTCATCCATGCACTCTAATAATTCAAAATCTACTAATTTTAGCTGCATATGCTATTCAGTATACTGTGTGTACATATGTATACACAAATACTGTAGTTCACAATAGTCACAATAATATTCAAACATGCTTTGTTCTTGTATGTATTTAAAATGTGTGTTTTCACCAGTGTTGTGCTGGTTTCTATTTTATATTGCAAAGTCCTGAGTGACAGGAATTGTTCACTATTTTTGCTTAAATGATAGAAACTAAATGTTACAATTTAGTCATCTTCATAATTACAGACATTACAGGCAGGGTGGGTAAACAAAGTGAGTAAAGCCATCTCTTTTATGCCCCACTTAACCAGATGTAGCATATTGACGTTTTTATGATATGCAGGTTGACATTACTCATTGGCTTGGTTTGAAAGCCAGCAACAGCAAATCTTTGCAAAGTAGGCTCTTCCTCCATAGCTACTCCAAGTATCTTAATTCCTGAATACGCTGTCAGCTCTGAAATGATGTTCACTGCCACGTTCTTGATATTTTCACGACTTAATCTGACACCTCTTGGTAAAGCAGAGCACTGTCTGTTAAAAACTTCAGCTAACCCAAGCCTCCAGCAATCTTAACCACTAAGTTAATATATAAAAATAAAACTCCCAAGCATTGATTGAAACTGTTGTGCCAGATCCCTTTTCAGAGCATTAACCCCTGAGAGAAAAGATGTCCTGGCCAATTGCCTCCATGGACAGTGACCTCAATACACTGTACCTAATGCCTGCAGTATAAAGAGGTCAGGCAACACTGATCATCCTAGTTTATCATTATTTACATACAAGGTACATTGAAAGCTGATCCTAGACCAAGTATTGCAACCATAATCCCAAGAAGTGGTTCAGTTTTAGCACATTGGGTTTCTGCAAGACGCCAGAGCAAGTGAGAAATCACCTCAAAGCAAAGACTGAGGGTTCATCTTTTACAAGTGAGAGGGAAACACCAAGAAGGAGGAAATAAAATTCCTCCTCTTAAACTCATCAAATCAACGGCTGTCTTCACAGCCTTAATTGATGAAATCTAGAGTCCTTGGTTTCCCAATTTGAGGAGTCTGTTGTCAGGTGAAGAAGAGCTTTCAGGCTTTTCTTTGCCATGGCCCATGAACCCTCATGAATAGGAATCTCCTTTAAATTGCCTTCCTGACGCACCGCTGAAGAGGTCGGCGTGGTCCCCGGAGCGGACCCCGTTGAGCAATCTCTGGAGGAAGCAGCGGTGGAGTCGCTGGCGGTGTTCGATTGGCGTGGATGCATGCCTGCCCTTCCTCCTCGCGGCGATGGCGGCTGCGCGCTCTGTCGTCAGCTGCTCAGTATTTTTTCAGTTATATTCCTAATTCTCAGCCCTTCTTTTGAGACGCAGCTAGGTAAGACATTCACTTCAAAGCCTGCCAAAAAACCTCAAAGTCAAATTTCAAATAGAGTGCTTAAGGTAGACCTCAGAAATTCGGGTGGTGACAGGTGAGGAGTGGAAGGGAACGGAAGAGGGCATTGCAGGCAGAGGAAACAGCCAGGGCACTATTATAAATAACTGTGATAATGTCTTGTGACACATCGTAAGATTCAGTCCGTGGTGGAGCCATTGCTGCGATTCTTTCCCAAGAGGTTTTGATTCTGCAGGGGAGAAGAACCGTTGAGGATGGAAGGGGACTTTCTTAGCCTAAAAGGTAACATCGGCAGCACGAGGGGGAGGTTCCTCCTATTTCACCTTTAACCTTCGGTGGGGTGGACCTCGGCAACAACCCCAATGGCTGGGAGTCACCAACCAGCCGAGCCCTGTTGCCTGGGACAAAGATGTGGGCGCAAATCCCGTTTCTAGGCAGCCCCTAGCGTCCCGTGACCTTAGTGTCCAATCGGAACAAAGGAAAACATTCGATAAGAAGTTTGCCAGGAGGTCAGTTACGCGGCCTCTCTCGGGCAAATAAGGATGTCCGGCGGCCCGCCCAGGGGTTCTCCCCGCCCCCAAGGCTCTCCGGGTCCCTCCCGCCCCGCCCCGCCCCGCCCCGCCCCGCCCCGGCCACGCCCCACCCCGGTCACGCCCTCGCTGCGATAGGCCGAGCGTCAGGGCCGGGTCGCGCCGCGATTGGCCGGGACGCGGCCCGGCGCTCCACGTGGACGGAGGGGCGGGCCGTGAGGCCGAGGCTTGAGCTGACGCGGCGGGGCCCGGCTGGGCGGCGGCGGCGGCGGCGGCCATGGAGCCGGACGAGGAGCGGCTGTCCGCGCGGCCGGCCGTGGAGGCCGAGGGGCTGCGCTTCCTGCACGTCACGGGTGAGTCGCCGCGGGCAGCGGGCTCGCTCCGCCACCGCCCGCCATGTTCGGTGGGTCGTCCTCCGCGTCGCGCCGGGCGGGCGTGGGGAGGTCTGGCCGGCAGCCGGCGTTGGCGCGGCTCGCAGGGCCGGGCGGCGAGCCTGGAGCGCGCGCCGAGGCCTCCGGAGCCGTACTTCCCTGGGCGGCGCCCTCGGGTCCGGCTTTGCGCGATTCCTTCACTTTGCGCGAAGCGAGCCCTTCTGGGTTGCGGTTACTGGGGTCACTTGGTCCTTAGCGTTTGCCTCCCGGCCTCGGGGCTCCCCCGCCCCGCCGTCCACACCTGACTCCCGGCGTGGTCTGTCTTGTCCGGCCTCCCGTTTCTCCCTGCTGTGTCCTGATAACCATGTGTTCCCTAGGTCTGACAGAGCTTTGCCCTCCTGAGTCGGATAAACTTCTCTTCATCCCTCAAAACCCGGCTGCCTGCCCTACGCCCCCCCGGACCTGCCCCCCGACTCCCCAGATGGTTGAGAAGCGCCTTTTCAGTGACCCCTGAATTGCTGCACTTCTCAATTTTGTTTTAACTGCCTACTTGGGAGGCCATTTGCTCAGCCTGCCCGTGGGGGTTTTGAGGGCAGGAGCTGCGCTTCCTTTGTCCTCGTGGATTTTATGGAGAAGTCCGGTAGCAGGATCGTTCTTAGTTTCTTGAAAACTGTTGTGTCTTTTCAGTGGGCTCCCTGCTGGCCGCCTATGGCTGGTACCTCGTCTTCAGCTGCATCCTCCTCTACGTGCTCTTCCAGAAGCTGTCCAGCCGGCTGAGGGCCCTGCGGCAGAGGCGGCTGGACCGAGCTGCGGCGGCCGTGGGTTAGTGCGGGAGACCCGGAGGGAGGCCAGGGCCTTACAAACACTGCCCTTAGCGTTTGTTAGTCTATTGTGAAGAGCGAGAAGTACCTGATCCTAATTTGTATGGGAGGAAAACCATTTATGCTTCTGAAATCGATGTTGGTGAAAGTGCAATAATTTTTTTTTTCAGAGGTTTTAACAAGATGGAAAACCTGCTTGATAGTGTGTAGGGAATGCACTGCATGTCTTGTCTCTAGCACCACGTGGGTGACAAGAAACAGCCTCAGTTCTTCCTGTCCGCTGCATTTTGATCTTCACAGCTTACTCATCAGACTTGATTTCAGATTATGCTTACCTGTTCCAGAAACTCATTTCCTCTGTAACAGTAGCCTTTTGACTAGCTTAGAAGCTCAGTTTCTGAGGACATATCCCAAAGAAACATTGCATGTTTTGAGAATAGCAGCGTAATTAAATACAAATTGTCATTCATCTGAGTCACCAGGATGACTGAGGTTGGGGAGGAAAGCAAAGGGCATTGCACAAAGGAGTCGTTAGTGGAAAGACTTGAAAAGCCCTTTACTCCAGTATACCTTTCTCCTCTCCGGTGAAACCCAGTGATCCTGCCATTCTCTCTGTCTTTTTGACTGTTGGCTGTACCTCCATCAACAAACTACAAAGTACAATCGTAAATCTTGCATAAGATGCAGGCTTTCGTGAAGTGATGACATGGTGTTAGGGAAGAGGTTCCGTCACCTGGTACAGCCATTTCTACAGGTGAAGTGCCGGCCCTGTAAGACCTGCTGACCACTGAAGAGTAGATTCCTGAGATGATGATAGGATGGGCGCTTCAAAAGAGGATTGTTTCTGTGAAGCACTGCAAAAAATACGTGTGCAGTGAAAGGTGTTACTTTGTGCTGTTGTACAATTTTGTTAGAAAAATTGGGTTAAAATAACTGTGCTTCATTGATTTTATTTTAAGAATGACCCAACAGTTACAAATGTTACCAAAATTCACATTCCTGTAAAGTGGAACTATAATTTTATTGTGTTTTTAAAGATAAAGTTCCGGTCATCTCTACCAGCATGCACACACACACACAGATGCCAGTGCTATTGTGACCATGACATTTTGACCCCTGTTTGATGAGGATTCAGTTAAGTGGCCTTTTCCCACTACTAACTGTCTGTAGATACTGAAGATCACCTATACTTTGGATGGTACTCCTGTAAGCATATAAGTTCTAGTTTGTTTCCTTGTTTAAAAAATAAGTCACAACACTGTGTGGTTGCCCTCGGTGGACCTTAACACAGCGGTCTGACTAGATGAGCAGATAAAGAACTTTACAGTGTATTTATATAATTTTGCTTTGTTTTATAAACTAGATAAAAACATAGATAAAGCTAGGGCATGCATTTCTATCAATGCTAGCTGGAAGGATTTTTCTTTCTTTTCTGTAGGATAAAATACTTGAGAATCTTTTATCTCTTTCTGGTATAGATGTGGGCAAGTTGATGGCTAATGATCAGAAAACTTTCCTTGGTTGCAGCTAGAATTTTGGTCAACTTAGAGCAGTAAAATGTATGCAGAAGGGTAGAATTATTCATGTGAAAATAGATTTTTGCATTGTCTGACATCTATACTCTTGTATACTTCTAATAATATGGACCCTCAAGAGTTCCCATTATATATAATACAAGGTGCTTTATCTGAAATTTTGTCTGACATTTTAGAACCTGATGTTGTTGTTAAGCGACAAGAGGCTTTAGCAGCTGCTCGTTTGAAAATGCAAGAGGAATTAAATGCACAAGTTGAAAAGCATAAAGAAAAACTAAGACAGGTATGTGCTGGTTTTAGTTTGAATGTGTGGTCTTAAGAAATAGTCTGAGGCTTAGTGGGTAAAAATGTGTGTGTGTGTGTGCATGCATGCATGCGCATGTGCCCTTTAGGGTGGGTGCTGGCAACAAGTGATTGTGGCAGAATCATTTCCACATAGCTTAGTATTGGTCAGCATGCTTTTTTTGTGCAGTTTACTCTTTAGGGGGAAAATATTCTTAGAAAGGCATCTTTTATTTATGTTCTTGCTTTTTAGTGGTTCCCTCACAGCATTATTTCACCCAACAAAACTGTGTCCAGGTACCATGCCACCAGACACACAGGGCACACATGCAGCTTCTTGCTCCGTTGTCTGTTTCAAGCCGTGTGTCTCGCATGACCTGGCTTGGTGGGGCCACTCTTCAGTGGATTGAAGGAGAGCCATGGGGGGCAGCCATGGGCTAAGCCCAGGGTTGAGATGGGGGGTAGGAGATGGAGTTTTTGAGTGGTTTTTTTTTTTTTTTTAAGGCACCTGGTTTGGTTGGGGGAAAGTAGAAGGGGAAGGGAGAAGGGGAGAGGGGAGGCAGAACCAAGGACAGCTGTTGGAAGTGACCTGTGCAACCAGGTGGATTGTGCTGCTCCTCACAGGAGTAAGATCACCCACCAGATTTGACCCAGTCTGTGAAACTGAAACCACCAAATGTAGACTCTGCTCTCTAGTTTCAGTCCAGATGTTTCTGGGCCCCTCTTTATCCCCTCAGAAGGAAGCTTGTGCTAGCTCTAAGGCAGCTGAGAAGTTGGTCTTGCCTGTGTCTCCGGTGTTTCTGCTGCTGCCAGTGGCCTTTGTTGTTTCTGCATGGTCATCCAGTACGTGGCTGGTCTTCCAGCTTGGCTGGAGCCCAGAAGGAAAGGACAGAACAAGGCCACACCTGCTGCACACCCTCGCCCTCCTTGGTCACGTCTCAGCGGCCTGCTTCTGCTCACTTGGTTGCCCATCTTCCACTTAAATACAGTCACTAACCTAAAATGTTAAAATATCACATTCTTATTATTTAATTTTTTAAATCACACGAGGTAAAAAAATGTCATGATATAAAAGTCTATACCATGAAAATTGTCTCTGCCCTCCTTGCTCCCGTATCCCTTCCTGTCTAAGCATTCCGTATTAAGTTTTTAGATATTTTTCGAGGAATATTGTATCCATATATAAATACGTGCATAGATCTTTTTTCATAGAAGTGGCAGCATAATATACATAAGTGCCATTTTTGAGCAGTTCTGTGTTTTTTTCTTTGCTGATTTCCAACCATTTAATTATTTTTGTTTCTAGAGCCATAGAATAGGTTGAATTCCTTCTACTTGTCAGAATTAATGACTTCAGGGTCTGAGTTTTTTGAGTGTGTTATTAGTAAAATAGCTTGATCATTTATTGAATTTGCTGATAATAGCTGAAAAAGTCTTTTAAAAGATCACTTTTGAAAATTATTGTATAAGCTTCTAAAATTGGAAAAGTTTGGGACAAAAGCCTATGTTCAGTTAAAATTGTTATAGCATATGTCTCACGGACTTAGAAAAAAATTAATAATAAGCTGAGTCTGCCTGACTCACAGTTAAATCACCTTTCTTATTTGTGGTCTCAGGGTTTGTCAGCTGTCTTCCGTCGTGATGCTCTCTATGTTAGCTAGGAATGTAAAACTACCTTCAGGTCCAGAGGGGGTTTACTCCTTGGCTTCCTGTACTTGCAGAGGCTGGAAGATGAGGTGACAGGTACTTGGGTTTAGCAGCCATGGATTCTGAAAGCCATGGAGAAAATTTCTGGATATGTGCTTTCTAAGGCATATTCTCACATATCCTTGTGACATCACTGATTAATTGGAACTAGAATGAACTGCAGTGTGGGTCTGCATTCCTTTGGGAATGAGCGGTTCTGTGTACGCTTAAGTTGCAGTACCCAGTTGCTGGCAGGAATGCTGCTGCTCAAGGAGTAGGAAGCAGAGGCGAAGATGCAGGGCGCAGTGTTCCACCCCCTCGTCGGGGACCTGCTAACTGTGATTAGGAGCTTTCTCAAGTGCTTGTTGTTGGGCAGAATTTTCTGCTGAGATTAGCTTCCCTTATGTTTCATTGCACTTCACTTGCAGAGCACTTTTAAGTCTGCTCTCCTTGGGTCCTCATAGCCTGCAAAGCGGAGGGTTTAAGTGGCTTTCCTCAAGTGACACAGCCAGGTAGCAACAAAGCAGGCCTGCCAGCCACGCTCACCCGTCTCAAGTCAGAGTTCTTCCACATTACCAAAAATGTTCTAGAAGGGCGAGTTTCAGAAGAACTGAATTGGTATTCTTTTTTTCATGACACTTTTTGCCATCTTTAATAGTGTACAAAAACAAGAGGTTCCGTCTGAGACTGAAACTCATGCCACTGGATGGCAGCAGTTTTGTTAATGGGCGAAAATGCAGGGGAAAGTTTGTTTTGAAGGACACTTTTATTAAAAATTGTTCAAATTAGCATGTTCTTTGAGAAAGATGGCCACTTCTGAATTCATCGTGTACAATGTGCGATTCTTTTGCAGCTTGAAGAGGAAAAAAGGAGACGGAAGATTGAAATGTGGGACAGCATGCAAGAAGGGAAAAGTTACAAAAGAAACGCAAGAGGGCCTCAGGTGATTCTAGACTTTGGCCTCGTGGACATTTTCAGGTAGACGAAGATTTGTCGAGTAGAATGTTTTTAAATAGCTCCTTAAGCCGGTGTATGTTTAAACAGGAAGAAGACAGTCCTGGGCCCTCCACTTCCTCAGTCATCCCCAAACGAAAATCCGACAGAAAGCCTTTGCGGGGAGGTGGTAAGTACTGAAGTACTGAACATTAAAGCGTTCTGAACAATTACAGGATGTACGTATCTTTTAAAAACAAGATTCTCTTTCTTTGTTTCATTGTCTATAAATTGAGACTAATTCCTAAGTTTAAGATTATGAAGATTAAATAAAAGAAACAGATGCAAAGCCACCCTCAGTGGCTGGGGGTCACCAACCTGCTGAGTTTTGTTGCCCAGTGGGCCCGGGGCAAAGATGTGGGTGCAGTTTCCATTCCGGGAAGCCTGTAACCTCCTTGGCCTCAGTGTCCAATCAGTAAAAACTAAACATTCAGTAAAAAATCAAAAAAGGTCAGTCAAGGCCCTCAGGAAATAATCGGAATGATCACACTTGTGTTTGAGTATTCTCACTCGATCCCACACAGCCCTCTAGGGGAGAGGTCCGTAGGATGAAGAGTGGTTTGCCCATCTTGGAGATGAGTGTCAAGGGACTGGAACACAGTGGTTTTGGTCTTTCCAGCCAGGGCTTATTTCTTGCAAATAACTTTCTCAAGGAGACATGGATGGGTGTCCCTTCAGAGCTTTTTCTGTGTGCACACCCCACCCCCAGCACTTTAGGTGATACTGCAGCAGTGTGCCTCCGTCCCATCCTTGAGGACTTCACGTCCTTTTGAGAAGATGGGACTCACACACAAATGAAAATAAGTAATCCTTTGTGATCTGCTAAGAGTCCACGTTAACCCTGAGGGAGGAGAGGGCAAAGGTACTAGAACACTTCGTGTAGGACCCGTTTCTAGGCCGAAGACTTTATTCTCCATTGGAGGAGAAGGCGTTTCTGTAGGGAGGCGCTGCAGAGGTATGGAAGCCTAGATGGCGTCTTAGAGGACTGTTAGGAGGCTGGACACGGGCTCTAAGACAGTGCAGACAAGCTGGGCTGCCCCTCAGGGGGTGATATGTGTGAAAAGAAAATGCTATTTTAAAACTTTTTTGCTGGAAGACTAGTTTTCAGAACAAACAGTGGTGATTTTTAGGAGAGGAGTGGAAGAAATTGTAGAAAATGTAATGCTTGACATGCTTACATGCATGGCCTCTCAGTGTTCCCAACAGTCCTGAGCTGGATGCTTTGACGGGCCTGGTTTTATAAATAAGGAAACTGAGGCACAGGGCGTTATTGCCCAAAGATCCCACAGCAAGTAAGGAGCAAAACCACCTCATTTAAGGTCTGGCCGGCCCTGGAGCCGGAGCCCTCAACCTGGTCACCAAATGTCCATTAACTTTGGAAAGCTAATGAGTGGGTGGGCATAGGGGTGGGGGCCTGGGCATGTAGATTATCCAGTTCTGACTGGTAGAAGTGGCAAGTTCCATTCTGTTTTTATTTTTTTTAACTTATTTTTTGTATCTTGAACAGTTCTTACTTGATGTATACATTTTGTTAAGCACTGCAGTAGAAGCCTTCATATACTTAAATCCAGCCATCTTGAGAGGTTTTTTCAGCAGAATTTTTGTGCGTTTTGGGGAGCTTTTACGTGTTTTGGGGAGTTAAGGCCAAGAAGCTGAATGGCTTCTTTTATTCTCACCAGAAAGTCAATTCAAACTGCAATCACACTATAAAGTATTTTTTTCATATGATAGCTTAAAGTTTTATAAAAATGTCCATGAGAATAGAATCCATATCTTTGCAGTACTTCATGCGTCAGGCTCAGTTTCATGTTCCATATAGAATATTTCCAGTACTGTTTCCTCTGTCTTGTCCCAGGTTACAACCCTTTGTCTGGTGAAGGAGGTGGAGCCTGCTCCTGGAGACCTGGACGCAGAGGCCCGTCATCTGGTGGATGAGGCTAAGAATCTTGTTAGTGTCACTTTTGACATTAACAAGATGAATCCTTAACCCTCAATTCAATTGCCTTACACGCACACTTTTCACAGTGACTAGCCAAGGGGAGGTGGGGTTTATTTCTGTTCCTAACTACACGTGCATCTTTAAGGGTTGAAGTCAGCATAGGGTATAGACATTTGCACTAGGCAGTAGTGGCAGTTGGTCACACTCTGTTAAAGCCAGTGCCTGCATTCATTGATTTCATGGGTAAGTGCTAGTTGGTAGGTAAAGGCCCCCGAGTGATTGGCGATCTTGATAAGAGAGACCTAGTAATGCTTCTTCAAGTTAGAAGTCCTTGCTGGTAGGACAGTCTCTGTGACAGGTTGCGTTGAATGATGTCTTCCTTGTAAATGGTGAGCCCACCAGCGAGGATTACTGATGCAGACAGTTGATGGGTTGTTTCTGTATATTTATTTTTATGTACAGAACTTTGTAAAAGAACTATAAATATTAAAAAAAAATTGCAAAGAACATTTTTAGCATCTTTATTCAAGGAAATTTCTTTATGAACTTGAATTTGTCTATGAAACATTAAACAACTTTTTATCATTCACAACCTCCTACTATTATTACTTATTTCCCCTCTCAGTAGTCCTCACCTGTGATGAGTGTGACGAGTGGCAGACTCCTTGGGGTTTATCCCTAAAATTGTGCTCTTGGAGTTGAGTTGCTGAATTAATAGGATAAAGAAACATCTTGTCTGGAGGTGCCTCATGGGCCAGCCGGGTTTCAAAGAGCTCTGTTGGCCCTTGCCCTTGCGCCCTGAGTCGTTTGCAACGTTCTTGTCTCGAGGCTGTCAGGGATGCGCAGTAAAGGGCCAGAGAGTAAACATTTTAGACTTTGCAGGCTGCATAGTCTTTGGTTTTTACATTTGTAAAGAATTGTCAAAAACATAAGGGTTCTTAGCTTGTGGGCTGGATTTGGCCTGCATCCTGTAGTTTACTGATCCCTACTCTCAAGTCTAGATCACGAGAAGGAACAAAATTAACCTGCGGAATTGGTGGTAATTAGCTGGAAAAGTATTCTAGAATGGTCTCATATGTAAATTGGACAACATTTATTGAGTATCTGATATGTGTGAAATACTACGTGCTTTGCTCTTTTAATGCATGGAAAGGAAAAAGTAGTCTGGTCTTAACGGACTTAAAATCTCTTGGGGAGAGTTGAGGGGAGTGAAAACACGACACCTGAAAAACATGTGATTACAGACAAAGGTTGGAATAGGCAAGACGAAGTATTTGAGTCTGGAGACATTTGAGTTAAATTTTGACTGGAGGAAATTGGAAGAGATTCTGGGCGGAAGAGAGGGTCAGTGAGAACAAGGGTGAGTCTAGTGAGGTTTGGAAGACCCCCTGAACCTTCATCTCAGGTTCCAGTTGTTAACTAGGTTGGCTTTCCTCCGACATAGGAGGTTTACCGCATGGGAAGTTTGAGACTTGGATTCACAGATTTCACCCAGGCTTGTTTATATTGAGAGAGATTCCCTTGTCGGATATAAAGGAACTTTTAAATAATTCTTCCTTTAATAGATTTTCTGTAGCTGAAAACTTGTGTTAGGCAACTCTCAACTATTCATTTCAGAAGTAGAAGGGTATGTTTTAGTATGTCACTGGTTTCCCTCAAACCTCATTTTTTCTCTAAATTTAGAAATTATCAAGTCATAGGCGCATGGGAAGAAACAGTGCTTAAACTCTGAAGTATCTGATTCTGAAATGCCCACCTTGCATCTAGCACTTTTGGCTGGGGGTGGAGGATGCAGTGTCCTGTGGAGAAGTGATTAGGATTCTGAAGGGGAGAGGGAAGCTTTTTCCTCTGCGTAGTGGTTAGCATTTGAAGAGCACTTCCCTTGTGCCAGCCACACACGGTCATATTTAAACCTCACTGCAGGCCTAGGAGGTAGGTACTGCCCTGCTTCCCTCTGGTGCTCTTTCCTGTAGAACAGGCTTTGAGTTGGCTCCACTCAACATCTGTTCCTCACCCTATCCTCTGCTTAATACTTAAGATGCTCTTACTGGGTCATCAGATGTCAAACTCCAGTGGAGCTTTTGGTCTCACCTTATTTGACCTGGTAGCACTTAACCCCTCCTTACAGCCTTCTCTTCTCTTGCCTTCCATAACACCACATACTCTGGGGTTTATTCCCATGACTGCCCACACCTCTCTCCTTTGCCAGCTGGGCCCAGGGCCACTAGTGTTCTCCTTGAACAAGTTTTCTGCATTCTCTTTCCGATTCCTCTTCCTCCGTTTGCTGTTCCATCTGTTCCACCAAAGCTCTTCTTAAGGTCACACGTGGTGTTCAGTCTGATGGATCATTCTCAGTACTCAGTGTAGTGTCATTTGTAATAACCAAGCCCTCCTTGAAAAACACTATGCTCTTGACTTCCAGGACTCCATGCTTGTCTGGTTTTCTCCTACCTTTCTGGCCGCTCCTCAGTCTCTTTTGCTGCTTTTTTCCTCCCCTTCCTGACCTCTAAACACTGGAGTTAGAGGAAGTCACAAAAGGAATTAGACGAGGCAAGAAGGTAACCATCACTCTTAAGACCACTCGATGTAACTGGCATCATGTATACCACAAGTGTACCGCTGCCTCTTCTAGTGATTTTGCAAATGGGTTTTTATAGCTGGAGATAAAATGTCAGCGTATCATACCCCAATTCGAATGGTGTATCTCAAAAGAACTTAGATGGAAAGTGAAGATGCTGTGCCCTGGAAAAACTGAAGACTCAGAGTACGTCTGGCAAAGATGAAGATGCTGTAAACAGCACAGACATGTGCCCTCCTGCCCTCATGGGCCTTGAGATCTGTTGGGGAAAGGCAAGCATTGCATGGTTCCAGAAGTAAATGACTGACTGTGATAAGGGCTACAGATGGAAGATACAGGCTGCAATGAGAAATGATCTGACGTAGGGGGACCTCACTTATCGATACTCTGTACCCACACATTCCACCTGTGTGGAATGGAGGAGTTGGAAATGTCAGGAAATAATTTAGAGATGGAATAAATCACCATGAACCGGGAGAGTCTTTCCAGTGTTAGTTAGTGTTAGTACCAGTTCCTGACACCCTCCTCAGTAGTTTGTCCTCCTTGGGGGCCACTTGGTCATGTGGAAACACAGGCCTTAGCAAATGTCAGGCAATTTTACTGGCCCCTTGCTGACTTTTTAGCGTCGCGGGAGGAAGTAATACAATGCCGCAAGACCAGCTTCGGGAGTAAATGTCTGCCAATGTTGATATAGAGTAGGCCCCTTTCATTTTGAAACATTTATTCCAAACCTCCTCTCAGTTCACTTCAAGCCTCTCCTCACCATAATCAAAACAGTCTGCAAACCCCATAGTAAAAATAGGATTTGTAATCAAAAAATGAGCTTGCCATCGCAGCCTCTGATTTGGAAGATGTATCCGTTAGCTTTTTCAGTGTCCCAAACGACCCTGAACTTAATGACTTGAAACAACCATTTATCCCCTAGATGTCTACTGGGCTTGGCTCAGTTGATCTTGGCTCCACTCACTCGTGCATCTTTGGTCAGCTAGTGGGTGGCTGGGCCCAGATGGCCTCACTCATGTCTGGCAGTTGGCTAGTTAGCAGCCAGGGCAATAGGTGACTGGGCCATGTCTTTCTCAATCACCAGCAGGCTAGCAGGCTTGTTCACATGATGGTTTAATTCCAAGAACAGTGTGCCAAAGTTTTTCAAGGCTTTCTTTGCTTCACATTTTGCTACCATCTCATTGGCCAAAGCACTTCGTAAGGCCAGTCCCAGTGCAAAAGATGGAGGTCCACCTCCCAATGGAAGGAAATGCAGCCAGGGGGAGAAGCTAGCATTTGCAGCAGAAGTGTTGGAAATCTTCACCAGTCTTGTAATAGCCGTCTTTCAGCCTATGAAATCTCCAGTCTGAATCAAGGCTGCCCCTTCTTGATTGTTGAAGATCATCCCCAAGATTTAAAATAAAGAGAATCCCCAGCAAATGTGAAGAATCCTGCTCTGACAAATACACTTCACCCTAATCCCTAAAGGAGCCTAGAAAATGGCCTGTGTCAGTCCGGGTTCCAGCAAGAAACATGGTGCACTAACTGACTGACTGAGGAGTGGTCGGCAAAGGAGCTATTTGCAAGAGTGCAGATGGGGTTTAGGGAAACTAGGGCTGGGCGCAGCTAGCAACATGGGGGAGCCATTGATGCCCTGCTCCCTCTCCCCACCCGGCAAGCCTAAAGGTCCACGGAGGGAACAATTACCAGAACCTGTAGAGAGGATGTGTGGAGAAGGCCGCCTGACGGAGACAATAGACAGCCAGCTCGCAGTAACCCCGAGAGAAGGAACCAGAATAGATACTCTGACCCTACTCTCCTCCCACCCACCGGTCTCTGCCAGTGCCTCTCACTGGTGGAACCCACCTGGAAGCTGAAGCCCCTGCTGGGGGTGGGGAGGATGTTAATATCTGCTAAGCCAGTTAACTGATGCTGTGACTCAATGTGGCTGTTACGGATTGAAATGTGTCCCCACAAAAGATGCTGAAGTCCTAACCCCCAGTACCTGTGAACGTGACCTTATTTGGAAATAGGATCTCTGCAGATGTGATCAGGTTAAGATGAGGTCATACAAGGTCATACTGGATTAGGGTGGGTCCTAACCCAGTGTGATCAGGGTATTAGTCTGCTAGAGCGGCCGTGACAAAATACCACAGACTGGGGGGCTTAAACAACAAAACCTATGCTCCCACACTTCTGGAGGCTGGAAGTGGAAGAAGATGTTGGCAGGCGAGCTTTCTGCTGAGGCCTTGGCTTGGCTTGCAGATGGCTGCCCTCCTGCAGCCTCTTCACATGGTCTTTGCTGTGTGGACGCTCATCTCTCCTGTTTCTGTGTGTCCGAATCCTGTATAAAGACACCAGGCAGACTGGAGTAGGGCCCACCCTAAAGGCTCATTTTAACATAATTACCTCTTTAAAGACCCTGTCTCCAAGATCAGTCACATGCTGAGGTACTGGAGGGTCAGGCTTCAACATATGAACTTGGGGGAAAACAATTCAGCCCATAACAATTGGTGTCCTTATAAGAAGAGAAGAGACGGACAGCGCGAGAAGACGGCCGCGTGAGGATGGAGGCAGAGTTTGCAGTGATTCAGTCACAGGCCCAGGAGTGCCTGGGGCTGCCAGAGGCTGACAAAGGCAAAGAAGGAGCCTCCCCTAGAGGCTTCCGAGGGAGTGTGGCTCTGCCAACATCTTAATTTGGGACTTCTAGCCTCTAGAACTGTGAGAGGATAAATTTCTGTTGTGAGCCACCCAGTTTGTGGTCATTTGCTACAGCAGCAGAGGAGGCTAATACGGTGGCCTACAGTCAGATGGTGCACTGTTGGAATTTCCCTGGCCTGTTACAGAGGATGTCATCCAAAGGCTCAGGTGACACAAATGTTGCATGGGTCTCCTGTGTGTGCCCTCTAACGATACCCTCCATACATGGCCCAGAGGGCGTGCCTTCGT